AGGAAGACAAGATGGCTGACGCTGCCTAGGCACAGGCTCACTTGTGTAGTGTGTCATTAATTACAAAGCAAACTCTGGGTTGACAACTAAGGCCTTTTAAGGAAAGCAGCACCATATAAGACACTTCACTCCTAACTCATGATTAGATTTAATAGTTTATATATAGCTGTAGATATATATATATATATATATTTAAATATCTAGTATAAATCCTTATCTCTGACTTTTATCTTTCCTTTTCTTCTCACATCAGTCTAGCAGGATCCTTTGCCAGCCGTTCCTGACGCTAAGCCTTGTTGTTGTCTTTTCAAATACCTCTTGTCGCACAGCTGACAAATGGCTAAGATAAGATGACAATTCCCCCCGCGCTTTTATAAATAAACCCCTACCTATCAGCGTAGATGGAGCAGGGCTTTACTGTTTGTGTCAGCCTGTGTAAAGGCTTTTTATTGTGTATTTAAAGGTATATTTCATGGTAAATCTGTGAGTTTGAGAGTACTTATAGTCTCACGGTAAATATCTGCGTATATTGTCTTTTGCCCTATCATGGCCACTTCAGCCTCTAAGCTCCCCTCTGATAACGTTTCATGTCACAGAGCGTTAATGTATCTGCGTGCCCTTTTCATAGATACATGCACAAGTACGGACCACACACACACATACACACGCCCACACCACTGTGCTACGGACCGCCGTGGCCTCCCTCCGCTTCACTGTGCTTCTCCGGCAGCACAGCTCCCCACCTACATCTCTTCATGGAAAAGGTCACGCTGGCCACATGACCTGCTATTTGAAGAGGACCTGGTGGATACCCAAAGCAGGCCAAGCACAATCCAATTACACCCTGGGGAGATACGCCACATTTGTTGAACTCTGCTTGAGTGATATTCTGTTTCTCTTTGGGCGCTTGTAAAGATCCACTTACATGTTTATGGTCAGCCAGGAACTAGAATCAACAGATGTTTTACAAGGTTCAAACTCCTGCTGCATTCGACTGTTTAATCCACTTTTACTATGAAAATGATTATGAGCATGATTGCAAGTAAAACATACTTCCATCCTGCATTGAAAGGGTACACCGTGTTCACTCATTTGTTGAAAATCAGGTGCGGTTTTAACGAAGACCTCCAAGGTAGAAAAGTCTGGGCAGGTCTCGGCTTAAATAAACACGAGTTAGCTGGAGGGAAATTGACAGCAAGGAGGTTAAAGGTCGAGCTTAGTCGAGTGACTTGGTTAACTATGATGCATTCCATGTACTTCCCTTCCCTTGTACTCACAACCTGTACTGCAGGTCCTCACCTTTCTCTCACTACCATCAGTCCCTCTCTTCACTTCACCATCCATTAACACAAAACAGGCCTAAAACTAATCTGAAATAAATAAATGATTATTTTCCATACCCATTAAACTGTCTGTTGTTTTTTCTGCCAACTGGATTAACTGTTGAGAACCAAATCTGTGGCACTCTTTGCTTGATAGATGACTTAACTGATCCTTAAAATCTGGGCTGCAGCTAATAAATATTGTCATTATCGATTAATCTGCTGCTTATGTGCTTGATTAATTGCTTGCCCTACAAAATACAGGAAAATGTCCATCACAATTACCCAAAGCCCAATGTGATGTCTTCACATACTTTGTTTTCTATTTGTTTTTGTGAAACAGATTCAATTCATTCACTATCTAAATAGTTGCTGATTAAATTCCGTCAAACGGCTAATCGATTAATCAGCTAATTGGACAATAAAAACTTGAGATCCTGATAAGACATTATGAATAAACTTCACAACCTTTACCGTTTTTGAATTGTGTGTAAAACATTCACAAAAACATGATATTCTTCTCTTTAAACCATCTTGAGTTCATTCTTTAAAAAAATTTACTCTGAAGAGCCCTCCAGGTCTGCTGTCCATACAAGGCGTGGAAACCACAGCTGGTCGAAACGTATCTTTGACATTCGCCGTGTAAGAGCCGGCGCGTCAGCTCGACTGCATCAGTGACCGTTGAGTGGCACAGCATGTGAAAGCATCCAGAACACCTGATAATAACGCTTATCAAACCAGCTCACGAGATTAGATGCTGCTGCGGGCTGAAACCTGCATACCTTGTCTGCAACAACACCATGTTTGGTGAGCACTGGTCCACAGAAGATAAACATTAAGCATCGTCAAGCTCTGGTGTACAGTGATGATGGCGTGTGAGGTTGGGCAATGAAGCAGGCATGGCAAGCCAAGCTCGCTACGGTGCTTTACTGGTGCGAATCAGTGATCCATTGAGTCGCATACTACACTGTGCAAGAGGGGGGGGGGACGCTGCTGTTGTTCAGCATGTGAGAGTCATACCAGCATGCTTGTTAAACTTTGGATCTCATAAGGTCATAGTTTATGGTTACTTTGGTGTTGTTAAGCACAAAGCTGCTTGACATTTTGCATTAAATGCTTTTGTGAGCTTTGCGAATGTTTGTGCACAGGAGACAGGGATGGGAAAAGAGTTAAAAGACTTGAACACAAGAGGGGGAAATGTCCAATTAGTTACTTGAATATCACTAAAACTGTTTGTATTGTACGTATATTCAAGTCTACTACAGCAAATTAACTCTAATGTTCATTTGTCATGTGGAAAAAGTGCAAGTCATACTCAGGAATTAGTCAAATTATTCTTAGTCTCAAGTGTGTTTTTGTGTGGATATGCACACCTGCCTGCAAAAGTGTGTGTGTGTGTTTGATTGCACCTTTCCGCGCCTGCTCGTACATGTGAGAGTGAGTGTGAATGTGTGTGTACAGTCTCCCTGAAACTCACTGCTCCTCTGCATACAACACACATCATTAGACAAAAGATAAAGTGGTGCAGTCCAACCTTACGTTAATTCACTCGAGTAAATTTAAGTCTGGATGACTTCCAAACATTCCCACAACCATTAGAGTTCTCCGGCCATTAATCTCTCCGTCTGCCTTCTACACAATGAGAGACACAGGCTCTCGTCCCGTCCCCCGGCTTGTGGACGTCACAGAATTTCAAACTTATTTAAGTCGGATGCTAGTTCAGAGATTTAGTGGAGAGAGTGAGTAGAGCTGCAACTAATGATTATTCCCTGATTATCGCTGACTAATCTGGTACTTACTTTCAGCGTTAGTCGGTTAGTTGTTGAAAAGTATGAAAATACGAATCACAGTTTCCCAGAGCCGCAGATGACCTCGCCTTCAGTTTGCTTTTTTTGTCCGACAACCTATTCATAAGCCAAAACAGAAACTGGAATCATCAAATGTTGGCATTTGTGCTCAAAAAATTAACTAAATGATGATCAAAACAGTTTCAGCTGTAAACAAAGCTGTCAGATGCTATTATGAGTCGCGTATTAAGGTGATTATTGGAAATGAATCCATTTTCTTTTCTTTCTTGTCCTCTTTGGTCACAATGATGAGCAACCATCCCTCTTCCAGCTAAAGCAAAGATGTTCAGCTGTGCAATGCTTACATAATTTTAATGATGAACTGATCAACAGAACATTTTCTAACTATTAACAATTGAAGTCATTTATTAAGCATTTGCTCCATTTTTATATGATTTTAATTGAATATATTTGCACTTTGTACTGTTGTTAATATACAGTATTTTTAACAACAATAATCATTAGTTGCTGCCCTTGAGTCATGCACTGGCGCCGCAGGCTGTATTGTGAGCACATAAGGTCAGAAGGTGAATGAAGCTTTACACTCTCTCCATCAGGTTTCCAAGAAGTTAATTCTTCAGTCTCTACCTCATCTGCGTGGGCCAAATATGGTGATAAATCAGGACGGGTATGTTTGGCTATTCAGTTACAAAAGCGACGAGCAGAACACCGAGCCTTAATCAAATTGCTCCAAGAGAAATATCTGATATAATCTGATATACCTTTTTCTTACATCACTTGGCCGGCGAATGCGTGCAACTCTGAAATAACAAGCCCTGTTGTTGGAGCAGAGACGCTTCCGTGCCAAATAAAAGTCACCCCCACGCAAAGACCACCACTACAAACTTATTTACCAAGACGGAGACGCTATGGATTCAGATTGTGCAATGTTTACAGAGGAGAAAAGGAAGAAACTGGGCTGTTATCCAGCATGTTTAGAGAGAAAAACGCATTCACTAGAAACTAAACAGATCACTTTCCCCCCCTTTTTTTTTAAAGACAAACAACATCAGTCTGGTGTGTTAAGCTGTAATTAAGTCATATTAGTAGAGAGGCTACTCTCCCTTAACTGTAATGCAGTGGGTCTGGGTTACAAACACTTATTGCCTACATGTTGCAGCAGTCAGTTGTTTGAAAACTAATTTGCCTCCTGGCTCAGAATTGCCTTTATGCCGCTGCTTATCAGTGTTGTGTGAAATCTGGCTGTACAGTACAGTAAGCCAGACCTAACAAAGACTTTAGCCTTTTTTTTGTCATTATCTACAATACATTCCTGACTTCAGAGTTACCCGGGAACTGCTTATTGGGGATTCATCAATTATTAAGTCCTGCCTGGTTCCTCACTTGTTCATGGGTGAGTATGGGTTTGTTGGACTGCTTTAAAAATAAAAAAAATAAAACACTTAGACGTGGACACATTAGAAGAAGAGGGAGATAGGTTATATATGTCTAAAACAATATGACAGGTGCACAAATTCGCGAAAGAACGAGATACTGCGTCGGGAAAACCGGATAAGAAATGTGATGCAGGAGCTAGGTCCGGTAACATAACAGCAGTTAGCAACTTTTACAAGGTAAAAAAAAAAAAATCAGATAACGCTACAAGACTGAGTCATTTAGACGTTTAACAGTATATAAGAACATCATAAGGATACTGCGGGGATACTGTAGCGGACAAAGTAGCCAATGCGTGGTTAAAAACACGCAACGTTTGTTTCTTTTTTAGCATGTATCTCTCATTGAAGACGAGCCATTTAAAAAAAAAATAAAAAGATTAAAATTGATAGAACAGCTGTGAGAGCAGGTAGGCAGCTCGCTCGCGGACACGTACCTCCTCTTCGTGGTTGGTGAATTCACTCGGCTCGTTGTCTTTCTCGATTTTGTTGTTATTCATTCTGAGCCTGACTCTTTTCTCTCGTTCACTTGGACTGTCTTCTTCTTTTTCTTTTTCCTCTTCGTCTTTGGTCGCCTTTCGTTTCTGCTTCGCTCCCTCCTTCTTCTTCTTCTCCAGGACTCGGGATTTAAAAAAAAGCACCCACCGACAGACGAACAGTCCGCGTGCGGCCGCTGTCCTACTGACCCGAGCTTCCCACTACTTTGGCGACATGAATGATAAGTAAAGATTTAGTTAGTTAGTTTGTTTGGTTTTTTTTAAAAAAAAGAAGGAGAAACTCAGCTGTGGGTGGTTTTTTTCTGTGCAGTCAGATATTCCTCAGCATTCCCTGGAAAGCTTCTCCGGAGGCTTGTTGCTGTTCCCCAAAATGAAATACAGTAAATGTTCAGTGGACTGCGCCGCAGGCAAACTTCTCTCTCCTCATCCGCGCGGGGGGGAGACAGGGAGGGAGACAGGGAGTGAGGGAGGGAGCGAGGGAGGGGTTTAGGGTGGGGTAAAGGGTGGGATGCACCGGGGGCTTTAGCAAGTTTTATCAAGTGCTGTAAGACCGGCAGTGGAAGGAAAACCGGTGCCAATCACCGATCGCCTTTTGGATCAGCTGTTATTTCGGTCACTGTTACATTCCTGTAATCATTTTACAGTGTGATGTCTATCCTATAACCTTGTGTTATCTATTGTCTTATTATATGGCTGCTTTAATATAAACACCCTAAACAAAAACAAAAAAAAACCCTAAACAGGTCTGATCAGACAACAAATAAAACATTTCTCCAATCCCTAACCACCTATTATATGAATTCTTATTTATTCAGCTGTTTTTGAATTAATGTCTAAATGCTGTTTCAAACCAGCTTTACACAGTCAGGACCACAGCTCTGTTGGAGAGTGAAACTTGTTCTTATTTATTCATTTTGTTGTCTTAAAAAGTTCCCTCCAGTCAGAGTCTTTCTTCCTGTTCCTACAGCTGGATGTTAGATCTACGGTGTGCGGAATGATGTATGTGCAGAGTTTGACACCAGAAGGATGTTTTCACATTCATCTGCAGAAAGTTGGAAAGTTCCTCCGCTGAACATCTTATTTTCTTTAAAGGGGCGGGACCTACGAGCATGATTTGTGACATCATGACTCCATCTGTCAGTCACTCCTGCACCAGTGTTCAACTTGCAATGATGTAATGTGGAAACTTGAAGCCACCAGTGCACATACACTGAGAATGGATTTTTTAATATTGAGTTAGAGACAAATTGTTAAAATTCACACAGTTAAACTGTTAAACAAGTTTATTATTTCTGGTCATGACCGAACCTTTAATAGACACCTGCATTTCTAATAAACCAGACAGTGGGCAGGAACTTTCTTTTACACAATGTCACTTTCTTGTGTATATATATATGACAAAAAATTATTAGAATCAGCCAATTCAATGTGTAATTTTTTTAAATTGTTGAACTTAAACTGTTTGCAGGTTGCTAAAAGGAGTCCAAATTCCAAGATACTGAGTATATGACTTTAGTGTCAATGGTATCTTTGAACACGGGTTATCATTTCTGGTTGTTCCATGCATTTGCACATGTTTGCTGTGACCTAATACAGGTTGTTACATCTCAAATGTATTTATTCATGTATTTATTTACTGTATTTTATAACGTTTACCTGCCAAGTGACTACAGATGGAAATCTTAACCTGAAACAATGCTTCTCTTTCCTTGCTTGGGATTCTTGTTTTATTCATGGTTTGCGTAGAAGAAACACACAGTATATAAAATATATTGTGATGCCAATACAAACACTTTTATAAATGGTTGGTCTAAATTATGTTTAAATTTAATTGTTCTGAGCCTGATAGGATGTGGAAGAAATAATACAGTTTGTCCTGATTCACATCAGGGCACACATGACTCATATTGTAGGAGATTTTGTAATTTAAGAGTCATTTTTGATTGTTTAATTGTTCGCATCGTACCAGGTACTTTCCTGGGAACAATGGCGACACGGTTTTGCTTTGAAAAAATAAGCTGTCACTCACTTTTACTTACCACTGTATTCAACGAGTCACTCATTTTTCTATATCTGAACCTGTTGAGTGTTTAATCTTTAACCAAGCTGCGTTACATACCGTCAGTTTCTGCCATAAATCTGGCATCACAAGATGCCATGTTACCCTGCACACTCAGGAGTATTTTCTTTCTTTCCCCGCGTCAACCCCCTGAAATGTAGCACTCAGCATAATCCATCATCTGTAAAGACGCACAGAGCAGTAGACGCAGACAATTATCAACCTGACTGTTTGATACATCTCACGTGTCTCTGGGTTTATCATTTCAAGGCCTCTGAGTAGTTTTGTGGTTTCGGGCAAATATTTCTCCTCAGACATCACCGATGTCACCGATACACCCTATTTCTTCCAAGATTTACAATGACCGTGGCAGGGTGTGCATGTAAAGAGGTACTGGAGACAACACCTGTAAATTGTTCAAGATTTGCATATGATAACACTCTATTTGATTTATGACCTTTTTTGTGTGAGGAAACAGCCAGAGCCTGGAGCTATGGAAGTGATGTCTCAACAACAGAGGAGATGAGCAAACACTAAAAAGTTTACTGGCACACCTATTATTGTCTACAGGGCAGGGTGCAAAACAGTCTTAAAAGCAGCGATCAGGTGACAAGGCAGCCTTGAACGCTCCCCCGTTTTCAAAACATTTATTTTGAGCAACTGCCTCACTTTGAATTTTTCGCGTTGAAAGGTTCAAGAGCTGACAGTAGCTCGGTAGTGGGGACTTTGACTATATGTTGCATGACATTTATTGCACAGGACAGACGCTCGCATTTTGTGACAGCCAGTGTGGAAGACACAGCGAGTCGTTTTTGCTGAACTTGCACCTCAAAAGCAACAAAAGAAGGAAAAACAGTCATCGTGGATCGGTCTTAGAGATGTGTGCTCTTTCCCCTCCCAGATCATGTCTATATCAATTACAATGCATCTGAAGCACACACAATGAAGGAGGAAAATGGCAGAGTCTTTTTATGCTGATGAGAAGCAGTTCGGGATGAGGGGAGAGGGAGGAGGGTCTTGGAGTCTTTTTCGAAGCAGATAAAAATGGAAATGTTCCCCTTGCTGCTCAACACCCCTGTATCAAAGCTTCCTGCCGGAGTCTGGGGAGCAAGGAGGAGGAGGAGAGCTGGGAAGGAGGAGGAGAGGATAGGAGTCGGAAGGGTGGGCGGGAGGAGGAGGAGGAGGGAGGGGGGGAGATGTCCCAGCTGTGTTTGACAGGTCTCAGGGCTGAGCTGTGTGGTCTGATGCTTGGAGAGGGAGGGTGCCCGCCCCCCCTCAAAGGCACACACACACACACACACACACACACACACACACACACACACACACACAGGAATGAGGGGGTTGGTGGGGGGGATGAGGAGCCGCTAGGAGACAGTCTGGTCACGGTGTCCTGGGTAACATGTCAGCAAGCTTTGACATGGTCCAGCCTTACATGAAGATATCTTTGTGTTATCAAGAGACGGCTGGTTAAAGAAAATGCAACAGCGTGGGCTAAACTGGTTGAGGGAGCCTTGTTATTTCAGTTCGAGTTGACAGGGAGACAAAAGAGAGCACGCATGTTAATTTCACGTGATAGAAAGGAATAGTTTTGGACGTTTTGGGCAATATGCTTCTTGGCTCAGATGAGACGATCTATACCAGTCTCGTGTCTGTATGCACAGCCCTGTCTCCTGGAAATTACATTTTTATACAACTAACTTGTAACAGTAAATACGTTGTGAGGGAAACCTAATGCCAACCAAATTAAATTTTTCTGTTGTTAACATAATGAGGAAATGTTGTTAATTAACGTACTTGGCAAGTGGCAAAAATGCTGATACTGAACTACACTGTCCAATCGTAGTGACTTCAGCATTATTCAACATTTTTTGCTTATGTTAGGTTAGGTACTGCTTAGGTACTGCCACGAATACAGAAAAAGTCAGCAGTGACTTCAGACAGAAGATTTTTTATTAACAATTAACTGGAATCATGATCTTTCCCTAACCTTAAAGGTCCAGTGTGGGACATTTAGGAGGATAATAATCATAGGTATGTTTTCATCAGGGCTGCAGGACATGGTAAAAAAAACATCATATTGCAGATATTAATGATTAGGAATGATCATTTTTGCATCACAAATTTAATTTTCACAAAAAAATTTGTTGGGGTCTGTACCAAACAAACATGTTTCTTACATCTGGAGAACAAGATTTGTAGGCAAGGATGTCTTTGCAGCACTACATTATAATGCTGTTCTGTCACACATTTTACCTTCAACAAAAAATTGCAGCTTGGATACTGCCCTTGGCCATAATGTAATTTCGATAATATTGCGATTAATTGTGCAGCCTGAAAATAAGAACCCTTGTGTTTCATCTACAGAGGGAGCAGTTCTTCTACAGAATCCTCCATGTTGAACCTGCTGGTTTCTACAGTAGCCCTGAACAGACAAACTAAACACTGCCTTTAGACAGAGCCTTCTGCGTTTTTTGTGATTTTGTGATCGCTCCTCCGTAAAAGTTGCCCAAGAACTTGACACAGGAATTTTGCTGTCCCAAGTTTCCTAGCTAGCTGTTTCCCACTGTTTCCAGTTGTCATGCTAAGCTAAGCTAACCGGCTGCAGTTTGTAGTCCCACATTTAGCATAATGTTACTAAAGATGAAAGTGATACCAATCTTCTCACCTAGCTCTCTGCAAGAAAGAATAAGCATATTTCCCAAAATGTCAAACTACTGCTTTAAGAACCAGATCTTTTGTTGTCCACATAACAAACATTTCAATAGGCCATGTTGCAAGAACCTTTGCTGACACAAAGGCAGGACTGGAGATTGAGACACAAATCAGATTATCTAATATTGTCTTCTGGATCACTGACTCATAGCTAAAAGGCCAGCTTGATATGAGCACCAAAACAAAAATCCATCATGACACAATGCCGATGTATTGACCAGTGGTGGATCCCCGAGGGAGGACCCCCGCGGTTTTTGCAATACGCTCAGTCGGCAGTCAGATGACTCGAAGATGATGTGCTGTTTTGATTCTTCTTCCTTTCACTCTTTCTTTGCATTCCTGCAAGTCAGTATCAAAGCAAACTCCTCATCCCTGTTCTCCACGGTTACTAACTTCCTCCAAAACAACCCAAAAGGAAAATAAGAGAGCGAGAACAATGTTGCAATCTATCTAGAGGTCATCTGTAAAAACAAGCAGGCCTGCCTATAGACCTGACAGCAGCTCCGGGTTTGGCAGAGCAACACACTTCACCCTTTTGAGTGATGTGGGGTAAGTGGCTCTCATTGGGCTTAGAGCCAAGCCAAGCCATTCCATTCCTTTGAGTTACTGATACACAGTGTACCTCCCTTATGCTTAGTGCCCTTTGATCTTCCTCTAAGATCACCAATGAGCAATTTGTGGTCAGATTGACCCGCTCTAATTGGCCATAAG